CTAGACCTCTCTCCTTGGAAGCCCCGGAGACATTTAAAATTTAACATGTTCTCAACATGACCTTTCTATTTCTCTTACATATTCCAATATTCTGAAATGCGATGCCTGATACCACTTAGTCATCAAGAAACCTGTGAGCTATAATAACACTAGTAACAACAGGCATCATTTGGGAATATCTACTTTGTGCTAAGAATCCCCACCCTCCACAAAATACTTGCAAAATAGGTAATATTCTGAGAAACTCTGCTGTAAAGAATGATGCATAATATAATTTAATTCTGATTTTCTCCAATTAGCTTGAGTACTAAGTACTTTTTGCACCATAGCTTTTGGTGAGCCAAAAGTACTGCTCTGATCACACTTTAAAAAATGCTTTAAAAAAAAAGTCTATTACAGCCAGGCTCAGTGGCTCAGCCTGTAATCCCGCATCTTTGGGAGGCTGAGGTGAGTGGATTGCCTGAGCCCGCGGGTTCGAGACCCGCCTGGACAGGAGAGACCTCATCTCTACAATAAATCAAAAAATTAGCCGGGCATGGTAGCACGCACCTGTAGTTCCAGCTTCTTGGAAGGCTGAGGCGGAAGAATCGCCGGAGCCCAGCAGGTTGACGCTGGAGTGGCCCTGAATGTGCCACAACACTCCAGCCTGGGTAACAGAGTGAGACTCCAACTCAAAAAAAAAAAAAAAAAAAAAAAGTTTATTATAAACAAACTGTTGCATTAGCTACTTTTGCTTGCCAAAATCAAATCAGTGATGCACTGTATAAAGAGTAGCTGAAAGGAATGTGAGTTTACAGTTGTATTGTCTATACTTAATTAAAATTGTACTTCCTTACAGCCTGATTCCTTGAACTGTAAGGAATTTCAGATTTATTTTTATGAGAATTTGTCTGTTAGAATAATATGCTTAGCCAGGCTCAGTGGCTCAGCCTGTAATCCTGTGCCTTTGGGAGGCTGAGGTGAGTGGATTGCCTGAGCCCGCGGGTTCGAGACCCGCCTGAGCAGCGAGACCTCATCTCTACAATAAATCAAAAAATCAGCTGGGCGTGGTAGCGCATGCCTGTAATTCCGGCTACTCGGAAGGCTGAGGCGGAAGGATCGCCGGAGCCCCGCAGGTCGAGGCTGCGGTGGCCGGGAGCGGCCACTGCACTCCAGTCTGGGCGACTGAGTGAGACTCCAACTCAAAAAAAAAAGAATAATATGCTTAACAGTAGGAGAGATAAAGAAGATAACAGTACCTTATATTTTTTTCTATGTGAGTGGATGAACAGAGTAATATTAAGTTATTATTTCTATGAGGCAACAAACATATATTAATTGAACACAAACCAGACATTATGTCTAAATAGCATAAAAAATATAAGAAATAATTTCTAAAATAGCATCCCTTCTCTCTAGAAGCTTATAATCTAGTTGAGACAAAATTAATAGTAAAATACCCAAAAACTTACACTGATTACTCTTCAGCGCATATAAATCTTTCTCTTTTTATCAAAAAGATCAAGCACACTTTGATAGACCATTAGAATTATCAACGGTAGAAACATGAGAATTTGCCAAATACACAGTATAATAATATATAGCCAATCAGAACCCAAAGTAGAGGGAGAAGGAAAAATGCAGTGTAAAAATATAGTAAGTAGAAATATTTCCAAATAAATTATGCAAATCTGTTTAGCTATCCTTTACATATGCCTGTATTATTGATCTACACAAAATCTTTCTTTAAAAAGTTTCACAGAGTTTCACAGAATATTAGTAATTTAAGTAACACTGGAAGCTCAGCAGTCTAAAAAAATACAGAAAAGACTTGTCTCTAGCTTCCAAAAATCACACCTCCATGAACAAATTAACCACAATTAGGTTGACATAAGCAGACTGCACTACCAAATACTGGAAGTTCTTCAAGAATTAAAATGTTTGGGTACATGGGAATGAGACCATCCAAGCAAGCCCAATATTCTTAAAAATTATTCTTTATGACATCTTGAAAAATCGACACGAAGTACCTATGCCAAAGAGAAAAGAAATTCAACAGAAAACCAATAAATAGATATTCCAGCAGTCATTTTGGAAAAAAAAGTTGAGAGTAGAGATATTCATATAAGAATTTATGTTTTAACCTAGGTAGATTTTAATGCCATACTCAAAATAAAAAATAAACATCCATCCATAGACAAGTATCACATCAAGATACTTATTTAAAAGTATGATAAAAAGATATACCTGCTTGTAACTGTGTTAAGCTCAGTACTCAAAGTACTATTAACCCTTAACTTTCACTTATTATGTTCCTAAGTGCTACCATGAAATCTATACAAAGTAAATAGAATAAGAGTTATAAACCTCCTGTTCACTTTCTGGATGTCTAAGAATACCTGCTGCTGCTATAGAAAAATTTAATAGACATTTGTCACTTTTGGCTTAAAAATAAAAATAGTCTATATGTTAATGGATACCTGGAAGATCCATCATTCACACATTCACAATTCCCTTTCTAATTAACTCCAACACCTAAATTTATGCCACATAAGTCTACTCAAACAGGTTTCTTTTTTTATATAATTATAGAAGAAGCCATGAGAATTACTTTCCTGGAAAACTTCAAAATCATCAAAATTTTAACAAAATATACTCGCTAAAATGCAACATAACAGCAAACTGCCATGAAGAGATAATACAGAAATGTTAATAAAGCATTTTTTACTTAAATTTCCAATATAACGGAAAAAGTTGAAATAATAAAATTAGTATCTCCACTTAGATTCAACATTGTGAGTCTTTTGCCACAAATGGTTTCCAACCCTTCTTGCCTGTGTCTTCTACAACTCCACGAGTTCAGATAAGATCAGGTTTTGTCCCAAATGAGATTTTTCACACATTTTATTTTTCAGTTTTAGAATTAAAATTATGGATAAGCAGTGGTGGACTGTGGTATTACTCCTAATGTACAGATGATGAAACAGAAACACAGAAAGGCTAAAAATACCAGACTAAAACAAGGAAGTAGTAAAACCAGCAGGTGAAAATAGGCAACTAACTCCAGAGTCAATCCTTTCAAACATGAGGCTTCAGTCCAATGGGAAATCTGTGGCTTTCTTCATCTCTGCCCAGAATCTGGATTAAAAAAAAAACTCCAACCTCTAATTCCATTACGACCCTCCTAATCTGAGTCACCATCATCTCAGCCTCCACTAGGGTTTATTGCAGTAGTCTCCTAACCAGACTTCCTGATTCTTCTTTTGCTTGTTGGTTCTATTCTCAACACAGCAACCAGTGTTATTTTTTAAAACATCAGTCACATCATGTCATGTCACTGCTCAAGACCATTTAGGATTTTTTGTTCATTCATAGTAAAAGCCAGCGTTCTTCAAACAGCCTTCAAGAACACCTAGGCCCTAGACTCTCTCACTTACATTACCTCTGTGACCTCATCTCCTGCTGTCTCACTCCAGACACCCTGGTCTCCAGGTTGCTACTGGTCCCCAGGTTATGTTCCCAGTGATGGCTCTGGTACTGGCTGACATACGTTCCCACTTGTACCCACATGACTCCCTCCCTGACTCCTCCAATATCATCTCCCAATGAAATCCATACTGTCCATCCTGCTTAAAATCACAACTGCCTCCAGCAAAGCAACTGGCAGTCCCGATCCCTCTTTTCCTGTTCTCTCTTTCTCTGTAACATTTGTTATAATGATTATGATTTTAAAAAAAGATGAAATATGTCAAGTGTTGGCAAAGATCAGGAGAAAAGGAAACACATGCATATTGTTAGTGAGAACGTAAATTAGGCCGAGCATGGTGGCACATGTCTATCATCTCAGCTCTTTGGGAGACAGAGGCAAGAGGACTGCCTGAGCCCAGGGGGTCAAGACCAACCTGGGCAACTTGGTGAGACCTCATCTCTACAATAAATTTTTAAAAATTAGCCGAGCATGGTGGCACATGCCTGTGGTTCCAGCTACTTGGAAGACTGAGGCAGAAGGACTGCCTGAGCTCAGCAAGGCGAGAGAGTGCCACTGCACTCCAGCCTGGGTAAGAGACTCCGACTCAAAAAAAAAAAGAGAGAGAATGTAAATTAGTACAGCCATTATGGAAAATAGTATGCAGCTTCCTCAAAAAATTAAGCCTAAAACTACCACCTGATCTAGTAATCCCACTACTAGGTACATATCCAAAAGAAATAAAATCAGTATGTCTAAGAAATATCTGTACTCCCATGTTCATTGCAGCATTATTCATAACAGCCAAGGAATGAAATCAAGCTAAGTGTCCATCAATGGAGGAAATTATAAAGAAAATGTGTGTGTGTGTGTGTGTGTGTGTGTGTGTATAATGGGATACTACTCAGTCTTAAAGAAGAAAATCTGTAGTTTGCAACAATATGGATGAACCTGGAAAACATTTGTGCTAAGTGAAATAAGCCAGGCACAGAAAGACAAATGCCACATGATCTCACAGACATGCAGAATCTAAAAATAGTCAAACTCATAGAAGCAGAGAGCAGAATGGTAGTTTCCAGGGGATGGAGGTGGAGGAGTTATGAGATTTGAGAGATGTTAGTCAATGGATACAAAATTTCAGTTCAATGGGAGGAATGATTTCAAGAGATCTATCGTACAACATGGTGACAATGTAGCACAACTATCTTAATGGCAAGCCAAATCCACACTGGGAGTATAAACAGTAGGAATGACAACATTGTCAGTCATTCTTGACAACATATTATATATTTGAGAATTGCTAAAAGAATAGATTTTAGTATTCTCACCACAAATTAATGATAAGAAGGAGATAACATATATGCTAATTAGGTTGATTTGGCCACTTTACAACATATATGTGTTCCAAAACATAATGTTGTACACCATAAATACATACAGTTTTACTGTCAACTTAAAAATAATAATAAATTTTAAATGACTGCAAAAAACTTAAATTACTGCAAAAAAAATAAAGACACACAACAAGCTATATTTTAAATAAAAGTTGACATACCTTGGCTTCCGAAATGCTAAGCTGTATTGTTGGCAAGCCAGACCCACGGTGGGAGTATAAACAATGGGCATGAATTTCTCAATGTCAGACATTAGAACGCTGTAAAAGAGCTTTTCATTTCTATCTTGAAGATCCATTAAGAGAAGATACCTGTGGAAATTGAACATAATTAGATCTACAGCCCACAAAGGCATAAAATAGTTGCATAGAAATCAAATCAAACACTTTTACAACGGAGATTAAAGCATTTTTAGGTCATATAGAAAACAACTGACAAAAAAAACTTTAGAAGCTGGGCTCGGTGGCTCAGCCTATAATCCCACGCCTTTGGGAGGCTGAGGTGAGTGGACGGCCTGAGCCCACGGGTTCGAGACCCGCCTGGGCAACTTGGCGAGACCTCATCTCTACAATAAATCAAAATGAGCCAGGCGTGGTAGCGCGTGCTGTATTTCCAGCTACTCTGAAGGCTGAGGAGGAAGGATCACTGGAGCCCAGCGGGTCGAGGCTGCGGGAGCCGGGAGCGGCCACTGCACTCCAGCCTGGGCGACAAAGTGAGACTCCAACTCAAAAAAACCAAAAAAACAAACAAACAAAAAAGACTTTAGAAATATTCTTAAACACCTCAAAGAATAAAGATTCATACATTTAATTACCATCATTCAAACATTAAAATCATTCCTTAAATAACAGTTTTATTCAACACTTGAAGAGACTTCATCCCTATTTTAAAACGAAAGACAGATGAAAATACCACTACAGATACAGTTTAACATTAACTAATAGAAAGAATTCATCCTTTCACTTGCAGTACTGAGAAGCCAAGGGAAAAGACAAAGGAAATGAGCACAGGAATGTAGTATCCATTCTACAAAATAGCTAAGGTAGACAAGTTCAAGTTTTCTTACTATTTGTATCTAATGGTTTTTTTCTTTGCAAAGGCATTTCTGAGCTAGAGCTATCTTTCTAAATATAAACCTTTTCATGTTACCTGTACCCTTCAACAGTGTACAGAATAAAACTCGAACTGCTTAGTATAGCTTAAAAGAATCTTGCAAAACTATTCAACAATCTGACCAGCATTTGGAATTGATTTCCATTCTCTAGAATATTTTAAATGCACAGAACTGGGAGTGAGAGACGCATGGATTCTTATGCTTGGGCAATTAAATAAATAACCCTGAAAATGAACACACAGGAGGAAGACAATTAGCTAAAAAAGTTTTCTGAGTCAGAGTCTCACTCTGTTGCCCAGGCTGGAGTGCAGTGGCACACTCATAGCCTCTGCAACCTCAACCTGCTGGACTCAGGTAATCCTTCTTCCTCAGCCTTACAAGTAGCTGGAACTACAGGTGCATGCCACCATTTTTTAATTTATTGTAGAGTTGAGGTCTCACCAAGTTGCCCAGGCTGGTCTCAAACCCCTGGGCTCAGGCAATCCTTTCACCTCTGTCTCCCAAAGTGCTGGGATTACAGGCATGAGCCACCACACCCAGCTGAGTTTAATTTTTGACATGATAAAATTGATTTAGCAATGTGGAAGTTACAGCTAAATCAACTATCAATTCTCAGATCTCACCTTACTTATCAGGTAACACAGGTAACATTCCCTAGAGTTCAACATTTCCTTTCCTTGACCTGCAGCTATCACATTCTCTTGGTTTTCCTCCCATCTCACTGGTCATTCCTTTTCTGTTTCTTTGCTGCTTTCTCTTCTTCTCTGAAAACCTTCTAACACTCACGTTTAACACATTAGGAAATTATGTTAGCTTTACTTTCAAGATATACTCAAAATCTGACCACTTTCATTGCTACTGTTCTGGATCCAAATGATCATCCCCTCTTGCCTGTATTATAATAATAGTCTCCTAAAAATTCTCCCAGCCTACATTCTAGCCTCAACACTGCAGCCAGTCTTTCTGGAATATACCCTACATAATATGAATCTCCTGCTCAAAACCTCAAAGGCTCCTCTTTTCACTCAGTAACAGCAGAAGTCCTCTAGTGGCTTACAAAACCCTAATATCTGCCTGTCCCCATTACCTTGCTAACTTCCTTCTCCTAGGTCATTCTGCTCCAGACACAAGTCTCCCTGCTGGTCCTTGAATATACCAGAATAAAACACTGTACCTCTGATTTTATCATGGCTAACTGCCTCACCACCTTTGATTTTTTGCTCAAAATTCACCTTCTCAATGGAAGCTACTCTTATAACCCCATTTAACAATGCAAACTGGTCATACCTACAGCCAAAATTCTCAGCCCCTCTTTACCCTAATCTATCCTTTCTTCTTTTTTCCCATGGCACTAGCCACTTTCTAGTATATTATCAATTTTTCTATTTACAAAATGTTAACAATTTATGTAAATTCCATGAGGGCAGAGACTATCATGTAAATTCCATGAAGGCAGAGTTCCCAATATCTAAAAGAGTACTTGACACTGAGTTTACATTCAGTATATATTTGAGGAGTAGTCTGCAGTAAAAATATGAAAGTTGTTCTCATTCAGCAGCTCTTCTAGTAAAACTATATATATATATATATATATATATATCTGAAAGTCACCAGCTCTTAGCAGGTAGCTGATATAATGGCCCAGGAAAAACATAAAAGTAAAGACATAAGTGACTACAGGAAGAACTTAAGAAACAAGTAAAAGAGAAGACTGTAAAGTAGTTTAAGAAGAATCTAATATATACACACTGAACAAACTGAGTCAGACTCTTTGCCCAGCTACCCGTCACAACTAATGGGCTCGTCAACAAAGTGGCCATGGTAGCAGGGATATAATTATACATGAGCTCAGCAACAGGGACTGCCAGAGTACTACTCATGGACTTACAAATGCCTTTTCCACTGTCATGGTATTCCACACAGCATTGCTTCTGGTCAAGGAACTCACTTCATAACAAATGAAGTGTGGCAATGAACCCATGGTCATGGAATTCACTGGTTTTATTTTTTTTTAATTTTTTTATTTTTTGAGTTGGAGTCTCACTCGGTCGCCCAGACTGGAGTGCAGTGGCCGCTCCCGGCCACCGCAGCCTTGCCTGCTGGGCTCCAGCGATCCTTCCACCTCAGCCTTCCGAGTAGCCGGAACTACAGGCGCGCGCTACCATGCCCGGCTAATTTTTTGATTTATTGTAGAGATGAGGTCTTGCCTGCCCAGGAGGGTCTCGAACCCACGGGCTCAGGCAATCCACTCACCTCAGCCACCCAAGGCGTGGGATTACAGGCTGAGCCACAGAGCCCAGCTTTCATTGGTTTTACAATGTTTCTTACCAATCTGAAGCAACTGACTTGACAGAACAATGGAATATCCTTTTTGAAGACCCAGTTACAATACCAACCAGGTGGCAATACCTTGTAAAGCTGGATGAAGGTTCTCGAGGAGGCTGTATATGCTCTAATTAATGTCCAATATATTGTGTTGTGTTTCCCATAGCCAGGATTCACAGGTCTAGGAATCAAGGGGTGAAAATGGAAGTAGCATCACTCACCAACAACCCCAACACTCACCAATGATCCACCAGCAAAATTTCTTTCTGCCCCTGTGACCTTATGCTCTGCCAGTCTAGAGGGCTTCCAAAGGGAAGAACGTTTCCATCTAGAGACACAATAATGAACCCACTGAACAAGAAGTTAAGACTGCCACCTGGCCACTTTGTGCACCACACACCTCTGATTCAACAGGCCAACAAAGGAGTTTCTGTGCTGGCTGAGAAGGATTGATCCTGACTACAGAGGAAGCTGGGACTGCCACACTGAGAAAGAGTGTGTCTGAATACAGGAAATCCCCGAGAATGTCTTTTAGAATTACCATGCCCTGTGATTGAAGCCAATGAAAATTACAACACAATTCAGGGAGGAATACTAATGGCCCAGATCATTCAAGAATGAAGGTCTGACTCACTAGATCAGATAAAGAACCAATCAGCTGAAATACTTGCTGAGGGCAAAGAGAATATGGAAGGGGCATGGAAGAAATACCAGCTATGACCGTGTGACCAATTATAGAAACAAAGATTGTAATTATGATAAATATTTTGTTGTGAATATGTTTATATGTGTATATATGAATCTGTATGCAAATGAGTAAATATCATTTTCTTCCCTCATCATATCATCAGATAACATAAGATATAATGACTTTATATCACAACATTTAAGTATTGCTAACTTTACATCATAGTGTTTAAGTTAAGGGACATCAAGGAGAAGAGTAAACACCACCCAAGGATTCTGCATCCTCTTCTAAGGAAAGGGTTGGTGCATTTTCTGTGGTATCCAGGACTGTTATATCATGTTAGGTGGAAGTATGACTTGGTTATTGTCTTTATTCAAATACTGAGTATGACTTAAGGAGATGCATATAAGTGTTGTCATAGTCCCTCAGGCTGCTCTTACAAAACCGCCACAGACTGCACAGCTTAGAAACAACAGAAGTTTACTCTCATAGTTCTAGAGGCCAGGAAGTCCAGGGTCAAGGCAGGAGCCGAGTGCAAAGCCTGGAAAGGACCCGTTCCTCATAGACGGAACCTCCACTCTGCATTTTCAGGGTTAATTTTGTGTGTCAACTAAGTAGGACAGTTCGTAGCTTGGCTAATACAAAAAAGCAACATCAACTGGGTGCCTATCAACAAGAGAAACTTATTTCTCACAGTTCTGAAGGTTGGAAGTCTGAAACCATGGAACTAGCATTGCTGGGTTCCAGTGCGGACCTTCTTACAGGCTGTAGAGAGCCAATTTCTCATATCCTCAAATGGCAGAAAAAGGAGGGACCCAGTTCTCTAGCCTCATCTTATAAGAGTACTAATCCCAATTCATGAGAGTTCCACTTTTATAACCTAATCGTCACCCAAAGGCCCTACCTCCTAATAACCTCACCTTGGGGATTAGATTTCAGCAGGCCCTACCTCCTAATAACCTCATCTTGGGGATTAGATTTCAGCATCAGTTCATAACAAACAGGGTGTACAGATATTTGGTCAAACATTATTCTGGATGTTTCTGCAAAGGTATTCTTGGATGAGATTAACATATAAATTGTTGGACTCTGAGATTACCCTCCATAATGTGGGTGGGCCTCTTTCAATCAGTTGAAGGCCTTAACAGAAAGGCCAACCTCCCTTCCAGCAAAAAGGAATTCTG